ACCTGTAACTAACGATAAACCATCGTTGATGAAAAACGATTCGGAGCGAAGCTTAGTTATACATTTTTTGAAAGGCCTTAATATTTACTTTTTTTGTTACAATTTGATTTTAAAACTTATAAAAAATATTTAAAAAAATCTTACATTACACTCTTCGCTTGTTTTTTACTATTTAGTAGAACTTAAAAACCAAATTTTAAGAATTTCTGTTTAGTCCAAACATTTTATCCATAGGATATCTACCAAATAAAATTTATGTAAAAAACTATCAAAATATAAATGTCTATAAATAACTTAAAAATGATTAAACTAGATTAAACTAGATTAAAAATTCAACAAACGATCTCTAGTCTAAAATGTCTATAAATAACTTAAAAATGAATCGAATGATTTAACAATTATACTATGTCATCAACTAGATTAAAAATTCAACAAACGATCTCTAGTCGTTTTTCTATTGGAGTTATTCGTATGGTAGGAATAGGCCGTAATAATTTTAAACAATAAAATCATTGCATTGTAATTTGAAAAAAATCTAATTTTTCGTTTTTTTTGATTTTTCCAATTCTTATCAAAACGATATTGGTTTTAAAAAAGTTATTTTTTTTTGACAGTAGCTATATGTAAAAGGAACTAAAACGATCACTTGTCAATTTTTTTGATTGAAGCAATTGTTTTAATAAAAAACAGTAGGACAAATTAAAAACAATGAAATCGATAATGGCGAGGTGTAAATATTTGTCGTTTTATTTATAATTTTCATTCTGGATTTTCCCAATTAATCAATATCAAGTGTACATCGGAACAGATTTTTTTTTAAAAAGTTGTTTACAGATAGAAAAAAAAAACCACATACAACTTTTCATTCGATATATGTTTTTTATATTTATTATATTTTAGTATGTATTTGTTTAGCTTGAAAAGGCAGTGGGTTACGATAACAGAAGACGAATTATAGCGCAAATACGAAAAGCTAAGCTGCAAATTGAACCATCAAACAACGATAAAGATTCAAAGAACGCCGTAACACGTTCATCAAAGGTATATAAGGTATATAATTTCATTTTTTTTTTTAATAGTAAACAAAATATCTAGTTTATTACTACTATTAATAATACGCCGTTCGCCGTATCACCATATAGAGAACTCTCCACCAATCCCTTCCAACCTATACTTAAAAGTGGAATATCTCGTCAACGGATCAACTGAAATCAAAAATTTCAAAAATAAAATTGATTTTAACTAATACACCATCTATTT